CTAACTTTGAGTGCTGCAGAGTTTGTTTTTTTTTTTTGTTTTTTTTATCTGCAGACACCCCTTATCTACATATATTTTTGGCAGGTAAACTATGCCCCAAGGACAGTTGTCAGGGAGTCCCTCTAGTGCCCTTAGCGCAGGCTTCCTTAACAGGGAACAGGTCTCACAGGCTGTAAGGTATTCTGACGTCTATAGTCAGATCTTGTAGGTAACACCTCACTTCACCAGCAGATTGTCTTCTCTTAAGATTACAGATATAACCATCTTACTCATAGCATTGAATTTAGATGGGTTCCAGTTGAAGTTGCAGAGATCAAACTTTAACTTTCCTTAGCTTACTGATGCACTAACAAAAACAAAAATGTAGCGCTAATTCACACCACAATTGCACAAAATATGATGGGAAATTAATTAAATTAAAGTCCTCAAAGAAGTCCAATAAAAATGACTAAGTGTTGGAATAAAACCATATCTTCAAAAAGTGATGTTCCACCAACAGGAAGATGAGAGAATCCTCCACCACAGATCATGCGGTCAAAAACAGCAAATATGGAATACAATTGACATATTGGATCCTTGATTTTCTCCCTTAAAAAGACAGTTCCACCGCTATGACTCAATGTTAAAGATCCAGTTTTAAGCCTCAAGGATAGTCGGATGTATAGAGAACAAAAGCTCCTCATAGTGTAATATTTTAAAATAATTTGAAGTTTAATAAAGTATTACACTTACAAACATGAGATTAAATACTCATGTAAGATCATCAAAGTTTCCAACCAACAAAATGGCCATGGTGCGTGAAGCAATGACGTCATGAGCCGTCGCTCCACCCTACGTATTTCGTCACAAGCAGTGGCGTGGCTTATGATGTCCTTAACGTTATAAATATTCACGGGCAGAAATTAATTTGTGACATTTGCGCTCCACGAACCGGAACAATGAATGAATAACCAGAGCGGATGTCACAATGACACCATAACAGCCTATGAAGCTTGCTCTCAACAGACCGGAAATAAAGGATATATGCAAACCATGTGTCAAAACGACACCCTAGATTAAAATAAAGGCCAAAAACAGATGAACCATGCGGCCCAATATGCTACCAGGTAGTAAAAAATACCAAACAAATTCCCATATATTCCATGGCTCATGTTGATTTTTCAGCAGAAGAGTGAAGTATATTGCAATGTCTGTGCTTGCAGATACCACTTTAATATTATTCCCTCACTTTTCTAGGTGAAATTTTTGTGAAATTTCATGAAATGCCTAGGTGGAAACCTGGCACTTACTGTACATGGTTCACTTAGATATATTTAATGTAGTCCGCACTCTCCTTTCAGCAATGTTCTCTGGTTGTGTCAGGTCACAAGTTTCCCAGAGCAGATACGTTTCTATCTGCATTATTAGAAATTAATTCCTCTACTTCCTGAAGCTATTAATTGCATTTTGTTTTTTTAATTTTTCAGCATTGGACTTCATTGGCACAGGCACTGAGCTTTATGAAGCTGGAACTGTATTCAGACAGCCATTGTTACTGAATGAATGAGCACACATCAGCTGAGCAAGCACAGTACGATGTGCTAATTTGACTGGTGCATGCAGGGAGGGTGTGGTTTCAAACACACACTGGGAGGGAATTGATCAAAACTGGAGCAGCAACTTAACTGAATACATGGCTAAAGACTTGGCGTAAGAGGGAATGATTTGGGTTTCTAGAACACTGGGCTGACTTTTCATTTAAGTGCATCCTACTTTATATGCTAAAGATGGTTTGCACCTTAATACAGGGGGACTGCTGTACTGCGGAAAAGGTTTGTGAGAAGGCTGGAAAAGTACTTAAACTAGAACTGAGAGGAGAGTGAATTAGAAAATAATGGGGCAGGTAGGTCCGTCCCTAATGGTGGATGGAATGGGGGGGGGCCTTGGTAGATAAGTGGGTTCCCATGTTAAGCAACCACTGTAAATTTATAACACTGTATTACAAAAAAAAAATGCAAACCCAAATCAAAATGCAGCAATGAATTCAAGCGTTTATTCACCAATGGCAGAAGTCTGCCAAGCAAAATAGGTGAGCTGGAAGCTTTGGTGCATTAAGAGAATTATGATTTTATTGGTATTGCTGAATCTTGGTTTCTTTCTTCACACAATTGTGCTGTTCATATTCCTGGCTATGTTCTCTTTCGGAGAGACGGGTTAAAATGTAAAAGTGGTGGCGTTTTGTCTCTATGTGAGAAGAGTGTGAAACCGTACCTTGCTCATGGAAAGTGTGATGGTGCTGCATATGGGTATGCATACTTCAAAATTAATTATTGGAGTGTGATATAGACCAGGAATGTCTAGATGAGGAATGTGGAGAGTCCGCTTCTTACAGATAGAAAGGGTTGAAAGTGTGCAGTGATAATAATGGGGGATTTTGACTACCCTGATATTGACTAGAGAGATGTTCCAGGGAATATCCGATTTTCCTTTTGGGGCATCAGGAAGGAATTGTTTTTTTTTCCCCCACTGGGGCAAATATGATCATGTTTTGGGTTGGGTTTTTATTTTTTCTTCCTCTGGATCAGCTGTGGGGATATGATTGTGTATAGAGATTTCTATGTGTTTTTTTTTTTTTTAATTGGTTGGACTAGTGTCTGTTGCGTGTTTTTTCTGTTTTTTTTTTTTTTTTTTTTTGGGGGGGGGGGGTCAGATTGACTGTGTAAGACATTCAGTTGTGTAGGGCTGCAGGCACAGTTTTGTCTAGGCACAATAACATGCCAGGAAGTGCACCCCTACATTTGTGAAAAGATAAGCACACCCATGCAAATTGCTGGCTTTTTCAACATATTTGAAAAGCTGAATGTTGGACCTTCATTCAAACAATGCCTACAGATACAAATTGCATATAAAATTGAAATTTTGCATTCATTCCCATTAACGAAATTATTGCAAATGCAGATTTGTCATGTGGAAAAAGTATAATGCAACGTATTCCACCAATAATTCGAACCTGTTTAGGGAGTAGGGATGATCTCCTGAACCCACTTGTACAAGCTGGCCAGAAAGCAGTCACCTGTACTGGGCCAGTCATAAATGGCCAAGGCATTCCTCACACTGCAGCTGCATGTATACAGGCCCATTGTAAGTGGTTGAGGAATGACTCGGCCACAGATGACGGGCACAGTACAGGTGATACTTTCCAGGCAGGCTTGCTCAGGTGGAAGTAGGATTTTAACACTCCCGAGGTCATCACTATTAGGGAGTATGCATCTTTGACCTGCCTTCTTTAAACTTCAGAATTTTGGGGTTTAGTGTTCTCTTTGTTGTTGACATGTGGTTTCAACATGTTGAAATCAGAAGAGCTTGGAATAAAGCTCGTGAACCTGGAAAGGCATATAAAAAGCTCACCAAATTTATTTGAAATTCATCTTTTCACTACAAGGAAAAATATTATGTACAATTGCCCTAAGCTTCTTATAAATGGATTGAAGTTCAGACATTTCAGAAGGGACTGGCCACATTTCAAACCATCTATGGCTGTTCCTGCTGGCTGATTGTTTAAAAAAGAAAAAAAAAACCATTATGGCCAGCCTTAAACTTTAAACTACTAATTTGTCCAGGACTGGTGGTTGAGCTTGGCAAATACAGCCCAAGAACAGATTGCTTGATTCTGAAAGTTGCCCAAATCCTAATCACAGGATCTGCAGTTAACTCTTTTTAAGCAGTTGAGGTCAAAGTGCATGTTTGTACATTCAGGAAGAGATTGCATCAATTTAACCTGTAGGAAAAAGTGCTGCCGAAAAGAACATTAGAACAAGACTATAGTTTGCCATGGAACATGCAGTATAAGCAAAGACCAGGCCTTTTGGAACCAAATTCCATGGACTTATCAAAAAAATCCAACTGATTCAGAGGGTGCAACAACTTTTTCTTTGAAGGATAAGTTCACTTTATTTAAAATAAATGCACATCTTATTTGCAGGTAAAAGTATTTATTATTTTTTTACACTGCAGTCTGTAAAGCATTGTACCCGCGATCAGCAGATTGTGGGTGCAATGTCAGGATCCTGAAGACTTAGTACACTGTCTACCCATACTTGCATATAGGCAGGCAGTTACTGAATTGCAGGAAGAATCAATTAATTACTAGAGTTCTTACCAGCGCCCTTGCAGCTCATTGAGAACGACAAGACATCACTCGCAATGGCTGCTGGTACTTGTAGTGCATTTATTTACAGAACTCTGAATAAATGACGCGGCCGTGTTGGCAGACCCCCCACAGCTTCATGTTTTTTAGATTTTGACAGCAGGTGCTGTCACATGGTTTCAGTCTTTAATGGTTTTGTTTTTTGTATGTCTGTGGATAATCGATTCTGCACAAAAGCAGATGTTTTGAAGAATTTATTTCTAGATTTAGTATGGTATGTTAAAGGATTGGTATAGAATATGTTAAATGTTCAGTTTATTACCCTCCCTCTTAGATTGTAAGCTCCAAGCAGCAGGGCCCTCCTAACCCTCTTGTATTGAACTGTATTGTTGCTGTATTGTCTCCCTTTATATTGTAAAGCGCTGAGCAAACTGTTGGGCTATATAAAGCCTGTATAATAATAGTAATAATAATTGCAAAATAAAAATGTTAAATCAAGATGCCATTTATCTGTAGCTGTACATTAAGTAAATTAGCCTGTTATGTTTAGAGGTTTCTTGCAGTGTTGCTAGATGTTGTAGGGTTTATCGAAATGTGTTATTTCTAAGTTCCAGCCAGCTCATTGACCATACAGGGAGAGTCTGAAGTGCAGACTAGATTGCATAAAACCACTTTAATCAAAAACACACAACATTTCCAGTGTCTTTCACAAACCGTTGCTGGACAAAATATTTGCGATTTTCTAATTGTGTGTGCGCACGCACGTTATATTTTCTAATACTTGTATATTCAAAGTTTCTGCAGCGACTGTTCTATTGTGTTTTCTCTGTCAAACAAAACTTCTTTTAAAACATCCCAAATCTTTGTTTTGTAGTTGCCTCAGTAGTTCTATATACCATTTCACCCGGGCCTCACTGTGTTTCCTTTACTGAAGTTATTGGACCAATATGGCTTATGCTTCTCCTTGGAACAGTGCATTGCCAGATTGTATCAACAAGGACTGTTAAATCACCTCCAGTTATAGGCGGAAAAAGAAGAAGGTAACAAAAGTCATGTAAAGCATTTTGACCATGCATGAAGTTGAAGTTTCTGATTAAAACTAATGCACTTGAGTGTGACAAATAGCCTTTTGGGTGATTTATAGATAGGAGCACCAGATAATTGCGGTATCCTAGTCTTTTACATACAGTATGCAATTTTTACCCACACTGAACTGTGTTTTTAAGGTAAATTTTTAACCAAATTTATGTGGCATCATAGGTCATTCAAAAGGTTACTTCACTTATCCTTTGCTGCTTTTAAAAAAATGAGTGTTTTTATCGATGCATTCATAAACTAACCAAATATATTTAACAAATATTGTGGTTAAATATCACAGTATGGATACATATTTGGATGTTTTGAAATTTGGTTTTATTTTCCCTTTAAATTATTTCTTAGCTTGTAAGTTGTTAAGTAACTGGGTGTGCTTAGTGCATCGGATGCATCTGCCCTGTGACTAATTACTTGAAACATCTTAAACACAAACAGGTGTTTGATATGTCTTAAACCATAAGAGTTACGTGTTTTATTAAAACTACATAACAAGTTGAGTCATTAAATACTGCCCTAGTTATATACCATCTTCCTATTGAATAGGTATATGGATGGAGTCTACGAACTTACATTTACACATGTGATTAAAAAAATGGAAGTGGATTCCTGCAGAAAGAATCGGTACATTCCTGTGGCAAGAGTCACAGGTGTATATGCACAGCTGCAGTCTGGAAACCTGTACAAATTGACAGGCTGACAGGGGTCTAATTTGTCCAAGGCTGAGCAGTTACCTTCGGTTAAAGACAGATAAATCAGTTCATGTCCTCCTTCCTCATCCCAGAGATATTCTAATCATCTGATACTTGGAAGATCAGTTGCTGCAACAACAAACCTCCCTGGCCTTGAGCTCCTGAACAGTTGAGTAGGCATCTCACAGTCCATCACATCACTTGGAGTACTTGGGCCATTTCCTGGATACCCTTAAAGCAAAGGTCTTCTGTTCTGGGAAATAACAGAGCTGTATGCAAATGCTGAAGATGATGGTATTCATAGTGGATCTATCTGTTTTCACTCAAGAGTTTTGTAATAGAATGTTCGGACCATGGGGCCGAATATGGACAAGGTGATTCGGTTATATTCTCGAACCTAATTCTCTGTCATGGTTGCTTCTCTCCTAGCATTGTCATAAGGCAGATTTTTTTTTTCTTCCCTTATGTTGGAAGGTTGTCACAATGGTTGCCATTCTTTTGGTTGGGGGTGGAGTTTGCAGCCTTCTGAATGTTCAGGGTTGATCGCCAAAGGAATAAACGCTCCTAGAGTTATGAGCGCTTTGTATGTCATTACTTCACCCGAACCCCCTCCTGACCTGTCATCTGGTCAATTCTTCAGAATCAGGTTGAAAAACAGGCAGTTTTTCAGCAGGCAAGGTCTGGACCTGGGGGAATGATCTCTGATAACAGGAATGTGTTCTGGGATACATATGGGTTGGGGATTACTGGATGTTAACTTGGTAGCTTCACAATTCATCAAGAAGCTGGACAGACTTGTCTGTAGGAGATGGGATCCCTCAGGTGCTGCAGACGTTCTTGTGGCACCATGGGATCTGTATACCATGATCCAGGTTTTCTTCACTAAAGCTATCACCTTTTCAAAGCATTGAAGCCAAGGTTATTCTAGTCATGGAGAGTGTGGTATGCCGACCTCGTTCATTTTTTTTAGCCAGCACTCCGTGGCCTTTACCAGATCTGTCCTCTCCAGGGCTGATCATTCAACCTACTAATAGTTTGCTTGCTTTAATTCAAACCATGCTGAAAGCTCCTAAATCTACTTCCTGTAAGGATTATCATTGAACATGAAAGACATTTTTACTGGTGTGAATTTATGGGAGTTTTCTTCATTGTGCCTTTTCGCACACTGGCTGTTTCCTAGGTTTGGGACCAGTCCAAACTTTGGCAATTAGTACCATCAAGGGTTAAGCCTCTGCCTTGTCTGTTCTTTTTATTGAACCACTACTTTGGACTAAGGAGTTTGAGTGATCAGCTTTGTCCTGTATGGATCCTCATGATCTTGCATAAAGACGAGATTGATTTGAGATCAAGGACTTCCTTGTTACATGAAGCGGAATCTGATTTCCACTTAATGAGACTATTGTTTCCTCTTATATGTAGTGAGACAATCAGGGTGTATCTTTTGAACAATTTGGGCAGATGGGTTCCCTGACTTTACTTTGACTTTTTGACACTTCACGCTTCGCATCTAAGACCATCCTGGTAGAAATTTGTCTGGCCAGTGGCTGGCAGCTTTTCTTTGCTTTTGGCCAGCAAAGAGCAATTTCTTTACTGGCTAAAAGGACCACCTTGTGTATTGCACATGGCACATTTTATTTTATTTTTATACTATTTATCATGGACACTTCCACTTTTTAAATTTTTATGCACTGAGACTGTAGGTTATAGGAGCCTGCCCTGATGTCAGAGGGATCATCTGAGGACTTAGTCTTTTTTCCCTCTCCAACGGGGGGTGGAAGGTAATAACGTTTAGGGAGAGCTCTAAGAACATGTGCATGTATTGCCAAGATGTACTGCACAGGTCCCCCCCCCCCCCCGACATGAGCGTCAGGCTGGTTATACCTTTTGAGCGTGATGAGATGTCTGTAGAGGATATCGGGAAAAGGACATTTGCAGTCCTCAAAATTAGCACTGTGTGAAATAGAAGTAGTAGTAATAATTAAAAAAAAAAAAAAAAAGAAATAAGCATTTTCAATTAATAAACTTATAAATTGACGTCCCGTTGGTAAATGACCCCAGGCCGTTTGTCTAAATTTGTCCCTAATGCTAATCCACGATGCTTTCAAGGTTGTGCTGGCTGGGGCGCTTTAATACATATTTGGTGGACTTGACCTGCAGCTTCTCATTTCTGGATAAGAGTATAATTTATTTATTTTGATTCTTCATGTTAATCTCATTTAAAGCGGAGCTCCACCCAAAAGGGGAAGTTCCGCTTTAAGCCTTTGTCCCTCACTCCCCATTAAGGATTGGCACCTTTGGGCAGCGGTTACCCGAATTTGAATGGTACCCGCTCCCACTCCCGCTGTGATTGCCTAGGCGATCGAAGCGTAAGTTGTCCTCCCCACCTCCCTCCCGGTAGTTTTCTGGGACACGTGATAGGTCCCAGAAGACTAAGCCATTCACAAAACGCAGTGCTTTTTGCTCATGCGCAGTTGGCACCCGGCTGTGAAGCCGCAAGCTGTCACAACCGGGTGCCTACACTGAAGATGCCGGTGCCAGGGAGAGAAGATGGCAGGTGAAACCAGCAGTGGTGAGGACACCGCTGGACCAAGGGACAGGTAAGTGTCTGTATTTTAAAAGTCAGCAGCTACAGTTTTTGTTCTACCTCAAATATTTGGTTTATGTTCCAAATGACAGTAATTTTGTTTTCCTGATGCTTTAAAAGATAAATAATGTCAACATACCACACACTACACCCCCCCGAAACAGGCAGAATTTTTTCAAACTGACCAATGGATAATTATTCATTATGGATTTGTAAATTCTGAGATTTGAAGTTGTGTGTGCCTGGTTGTATGTCGGCATTACTAAAGATCCAACAAATCGGGGTCTCCGGGTGACTTGTTTTTTGTATTATATCCACAATGACAGGACATTCCTTTATCTCATGGAAAAGGGAATACGTGATGTTGCACTCCATCAGTTTAAAGCCCAACTCTGGGAAGTTAACCCCCCCATCCCTATTAACTAACTGCAGGTAAGGTAAAAAGCCTATCCAAATGCCCAGTTTTTCTTACATGAAGGTCATATGACAGTCCTTTCTTCTTCTGTTTCATACCTGGGGTCCTTCTTCAGGTGTCCATATCACTGCATGCGTGCTATGGACACCACCTATTGATGGAGGCAACACTTCCAGGAGCTGGATCCTCTTTCAAAGGTACCAGAAGCAGAAGAACTCACGGGGGTGGTGAGGGAACCAGTGCCCAAGAAGATAATAATCAGGGAACAATACCTGGTCCCCTGGGCAGGAAATTAGCTTGGTATATAAAGGAAACTGTGACTTTGATTCTTTACACTGAAGGATAGCTAAGGAAGAGATGCTTCGAATTAAGACTGAGGAGTAAGGTAATTGATGCACAATATACTATTTAAATTGCATTTTTGACTGAAGTTGGGCTTTTATAGTACTGTGATTTTGTTACAAGTGCTCAGATGAATTGCATGTGAATATAGAGTATTTCCTAATCCCATCAAGAAGTGTACTTCTTTTCCCCATTTTATAGTTACTGCAGGAGCCACAGAACTCACAACATTTTGTCAGAGTAGTTTTGGATGTGACAACCAAAATATTTAAACTTTTTTCATGCAACATCAATGTTGTTGAGCCAGACCTTTTTGTTTTAATTATTTTAAATATATATAGCCTTTTAGTGTCACTGACAGCCATTTATACTGCTACTGATTTGTCTACCTGTAGATTGTGTTAACTGGGTATAAGGTTACACAGTGGCAACCAAAAGGGTTCAACGTTTATTCATGTACTTTAAAACATCAATAAATCTAGGCCATAAATCATTGTTTTACTGCCGCAATGCAAGTCAATGATGAAGGTCCTTCGACTTTTTGATCTCTTCTGCTGAAGGAAATTAAGAAAAGCAGCACATTTGGAAGTACATAGGGAAGGCGATGGCTCTAGTACTACAGATAATACACAGGAGGGAACTTTGCAGAACTACGGTACAAGCTCCTCTTACAGTATTGGCACAGTCTTCAGAGATATCTGGCATGCTGCTTTCTTTTTATCAGGGTTTGTATTTTTTCCAAGCTATGTATTTCTGGAGAGATGCAATATTCCTTCTGGAAATCACTGATAAAGATTATGGGTCCTCCACAGAATTGTGAATCCTAGAGGAACAAACTTTCATTTGAAACGTGAAGTAGATATCTAGGAGAATAAAATTAAAAGTCGTAAGTGAATAGGCTCTTCCAACGGATCTTTTAAAATATTGTCTTTAAATTGGTAATTCTTTGTCAATCCTAAAGACCAATTTGCACAAGAAATAAACGTGGCCATTTATTAAGAAGATGATATTCAAGACTGAGCTGAAGACATTAGCTGGATTATTTAGGTATTTGATCTTGAAACTGTACCTGTTTAAAAATTTAGGTGTCTCGGAAACAGAACAACCATTGGCGCAGCATCTCATACATAGTTTATGGGGGACAAGTTTAGATGTAATCTCTGAGAGTAGGGAAAACTCCTGACCAGAAGAAGGGATATTGCGTGCCTCATAAATGTTGTCCTGTGTCTGTCATGTAATGATGTAGCTTTTTTTTTTTTTTTTGCCTGTGTTCTGCTAACGTAAGTGCTCAAAAAACTGATGTTTTTGAGATTTATACTTTAGCTCGATAACTCCACATGGTATTAACTTTTTCTCAATTCATTACACTTTCATGACAAAAATATATCCAGAAATGATTAACATGTACAATTTAGGAGTTATTAGGAGGAATTAGTTTACTTAGGAGTTGGCCTGCAATCTGTTACCAAGAAAGGTGGGTCACCTGACAGCTGTTGAGTATTAGTAGTTTTCCCTTGTTATGTTTCATTAGGCAGAATTGTATTTTGCTATTGTTATGTAACATGTCCTTGGCAAAGCTTATTCTTTCCTACCCCAATGGGGATCTGTGTTTTTTTTTTTTTTTCCTCATTCATTTTAATTTTACATTAAATGACTGAGAGGCTTGGCTTGTCTATTAACCACTTGTGGACTGAGAGCAGTACATTTACTGCTGGCAGGCGGCATCCCCAGGCACTGTGATGTATCTGTACGATGCATTGCTCATGCGTAGCCATGCAATCCTGTGACCGTTGCGTCTGGTTGATGCAGCAGATCAGTGCTCGGTACCTGGACACTATGGGGTTTATTTACTAAAGCTGGAGAGTCCAAAATCAGACTCCCTTCTGCATAGAAACCAATCAGCTTCTAACCTCAGCTTGTTCAATGAAGCTTTGGCAATGAAACCTAGAAGCTGATTGGTTTCTATGCAGAAGTGAGTCTGATTTTGGACTCTCCAGCTTTAGTAAATAAACCCCTATGAGTGGCCGGGCATCATGTGCTTGCTATGACCAATCATAGCGATCACATGATATCATGTGAGCAAAACTGTTATGAATGGCTTTTATTCATGACAAATTGCTTACTATTGTAATATCGCAGCACTTTTAAAAGTTTTAATTTGGTGGCCCTTTGAACACATATATGCAACTATGCAGTAAATGTCTCAAGGATTTGCTCACATTACAAAATTAGAACTATGGTTCCTACACTTACTTACATTTCTCCATATTTTGCTGAACATTTTATCAGAGTTTTTTGAGCACCTATATTTTTACGTGTGTCTTTTTTTTTTTTTTTTTGTCGCTTTCATTATTTGTTGCACCGTGTTTTCAACATGTTATTGAATATTGAAATGTGACTATCATTTTATTGTGGACTATTCACATTAACCCAAGCCATGCTCTATAGCAGAGTTTGAGAAAGAAGCCAACATACTTACAAACTTTTTAAAAAAATACTTTTACGGTATAACCTCATATAAAAAATTACAACATTTAATACAATGCAGATCGTAGTATTTGGTGAACAATGCTCAATAATGACATAATAAACAATTTTATTTAATTTGTTATTGAAAGTAAAAATCTATGTAAATTGTAATGGAGGTTGACAGGGTAAAAAAAATCAACCAGGCCATAAATAACAAAACACTTATCTAATTGAAGAACAAATCATGCTTTTCATGCAATACAGTTGGCTTTGTTCCTTTTACGCATATCTTACTGGCAAACGGATATAATAAAAGTCACTTATTTATGCAAAGTAAAAAACAAAGGCTGGTTTGGGCTTTGATGGTCACATCTTGCCATAAACATGATTTATATGTTTTTTTTTAAATTTGCAATTAGGTTACTTAATACACATAGGATAATAATGTATTATATAAACAAACTTTTCATAAAATTAATTTCTTGGTTATTTTGTACAAGCCTTCAAGAATGTTTAATGTTGAACACTTTTTCGCTTCAGTTCAAAGAAGTCAAAAAATTCCATCGACAAATCTACAGAAACTGACAATGGTTACGTATCATTAGAAGGGAGGTTGACAGGTAAAAGCAGTGAAGATGGGGTACACATTCATGAGCCTCATAGTGAAACAGTCAATTCTGAAGAGACCACATGGGCAGCAGGAACTAACAGGAATCATCATCAAGCCAAGCCAATATACAACAAAACCAAAATGGTAAGTCAATATTGGTTATGTTTTTAATGTACGTTAGTATGTTTTGATTTAGACGATAAGGCAGATATTGGCAAGCTATTTGATTTTTTTCTTTTTCACTGCTACTTAAAGTGATATTTAAAAGAGATGTAATTTTGAAATTCTGTATTTAGAGTTGTTTGGACTAATAATTGAGACCTGGCTTTTCAGTATTCTTTATTGAAGCTAATGGTAAATATTTAATGTACAAGGAGCATTCAAGGCAAACCGGGACTTTAGTTTTACAGGTATAAAAAGGGATGCCAGCATGGTGGTACAACATGCAGTAGTAAGTGGCAAGTGTGTCCCATTACTGATAAGCAAGGAAAAAATGTCACCAGCACACCGAGGATCACCAATATGGGTCCAAAGGTTTTAATAAACCATCACATAGTTACAGCAAGGCAACGTTTCGGAGTCTCGCAGGACCCCTTCATCAGGCATGTGACGTGTGCGTTTGGATCATATACTTCCATTACTGATAAGCGGCGCACATGTCGCAGGCCAGTTCAGAGACCGTTAATCAAGATGGCCAACAACAGTGTTAGTACGTGCATGGAACAGCATATGGTGATGAAGTTTCTTGTGAACAGAGGCGTTAAACCCTCAGATACCTACAGAAGACTTCAAGTACAGTGATGAAATGCTGAGCCGCAGTAAGACATTTGAATGGTGTAAATGTTTCAAAGATGGCCTTAAATAATCAGTGACAATACCAGTTGTGGTGGTTCCCAACCCACAGCAGTCATTCCAGTGAACATTCAGTGCATGGAATGCCTGATCCTGGATTAGGATGAATATTTCACAAACATTTGCATTTTTGATAAGTTTGCGCATACTTTGTACCGAGACAGCTTTCCGCTTTAGACCAGCACAGAAGTGATGTGCATACGTGTCTGCAGAAAAAGCGGCCTGGTTTCATCACTAAGGGCGTCTTGTTTCTCCAGGACAACACATGAATTCATACTGCTCACCGTGCTACATGTACATTACATAAACTCGGCTGTGAGGTATTGCCACCCCCCCCCCCCCCCCCCCCCCCCCCCCCCCCGCCCCAACAGCCCAGACCTCGCTTCAAGTTATTGCCACCTGTTTGGACCCCTAAAAGAGTTTCTCGGGGGTCAGCATTTTCGCAATGATGATGAAGTGAAGCAGGCTGTCCTAGGATGGTTAAGTTGTACTGACAAATCCTTTCTATGCTGAAGCTGGGGTAAGTGTATAAACGTAGCAGGGGAATATGTTGAAAAATAAATGCGGTTTCCACTCCTTGAAATTTGTTCTTTTATTATTTAAACTCAAAAGTCCTGATTTGACTTGAAAGCCTGTCTTTTTTTTTATACCATGAAGATAGCTATAACCAACAGAGCTCTTTCTTCTAATGCAATGTTTTTGACAAATTTAATAACTGGATGTTGTAGCAAATACAGACTATCGTAGGCATACGTTGTTAAACCAGGGGGAAACTTTGACATTGACTTTTTTTTTATTAAATATTAAAGTGGTTATAAAGGTAAGTTTTTTTGTTTTTTTTGGCCAGACGATTTTTTCAATTTTTCCAATGCTTTTTTATTTTTCCCTTTACAGCTTTCAGAGTTTGTAAAATACCCCCAAAACCATACATTTTCTGAAAGCACATGACCAGCTGAATTAAAAGAAGGTGATTCAGAATTTTAAGGCCTCGTGCTATTTGCGCAAATGTTTATCAAACAATATGTTTGCTAAAAATACAATAAAATCATTATTGGCAGATAGAAACACAGCAAATTTTACACAATTCCTGCTAAATTCCTCCTAAATCTAAAAGCTAAACATGAATTGAGTTAATAAATAACAAATATTATTACATTTTAAATTGCACCTTTTTGAGAGATGTTGAAAATCGAAGGTACGCGAAACTGTAAATAACTTTCTCTAAAAATCTGGAGGTTTTCATTTTTCACTTACAGCTTTCAGAGTTTGTGAAAGACCCCTCAAACCATACATTTTCTGAAAGTATAGAACTAGGACAATAAAAAAAGGTGCCACTGATTTTTTTTTTTTTTTTTTTTTTTTTTTTTTTTTTTTCTTTTAGAAGCCACAACAGTTGAGCAAATGTTTATCAAATCGCTATTTTCACAAAAATCCTTGTTTGTACACAACGTACTAAATTCCTGCTAAGTTTCTACTAAGGCCTCATTCACATGGAGTGTATTAAAGCGTACCTCCAAGGAGGGCTGTGTTTACCTGCATGGAGATGCAAAGGTGTTCTGTGCATTCCAATGCAGGCAATGCTATTCATGTAATCTGGGACGCAGCCGCTGCAAGAACAGAGCCGCTGGTCCTCATCTGACATCTATGTGGGTGTAGGTACATGGTCCCAAATGCTGACCGTGGGAGTTCAGGGGCATGAACCTACATGGATATCAAGTTGGGAGTAGTGGCTGTGTCCATGCAGCCGTTGCCTCCCAATTGACATGAATTGGACGGCCTGTACTAGGGCTGAAACAACTAATCGACATAATCGATTATGACAATAGTTGTCCACTATTTTCATAATCGATTAGTTGATCAGCCGATTAGTTAACCTGCATACAGAATGCATTATTTGTATACTCTTTAGCAAATACAATGCAGCACACCTACAGCTCAGTACACCATCCATACATGTCAGAAAGTGCCTGAGAACTTGTGAATGTGCGAGGAACAATACCTCATGGGACATGTAGTCCTGGGTAGGAGAAGGAAGTAAGGGATTCTAAAGGCAGAAGTTTTTTTTTTTTTTTTCCTTGCTAAGAGGGCACTCTGAACTCAGGAGGAGCCAGAAATGCTGGTGGGGGACCCCAGAAGAGGAAAATTGGGGCTGCTCTGTGCAAAACCATTACACAGAGCAGGCAAATATGATGCGTTTTTGTTTCGTTTTTTTTAAAGAAACATTTACGATCAGGGTGCTACGCAGGGAAGATCAGCATCTGAATCCAGAGAAGCTGGAGGCTGATAGACTAGAAGTAATATTACAGGCATTACAATTAAATTGAAAGTAAAAGTTTACCCGTATTGTGCATTATGTTTAAAATGATTGTTTCCATGGAAAACGCCTCAGCCATTAGTACTACTTTAATATAAAAGATTTATATCCCCCCCCCCCTTATTTATTTATATTTTTATTATATATATATATATAGTATATATATATATATATATATATATATATATATATATATATATATATATATACATATATATATATATATATATAAAATATGATCACTTTTCACTGTTGCACAGTATAAATTAACCACTTGCAGTAGTGATTAACTGCTGCTTTTGTACTATAAAGGGCTGATTTATGTTTTTAAACCCCATCATGACCGATGATACCAAAAGCATGCTGCTGTTACTAAAATGTCTTATCCTAACCATACACGTATAGATTTTCAGACAAGAATATTCACAGGAGTATTCGTTTGAAAATTCTTTGTACATTTTGATGAATGAACGAATGTCGTTCGAAAATTTCACTTGCTTTTAACATTCAGTTTTAAAATGAATGTAATTACTGAACGAAAACCTCATACACTGTCCAAAAGTTTGTTCGCTGAATAAGTTTTTTATTCTTCCCCTTCGTATTTTCCAGTCACTGCGGTTGAAAACCCCACTAATGATTAGAAAATTTAATGTTGACCTGACTTGTAGCAATCCTCCGTCGCAAGCTTGCCGAGTGCTACAAATTCAAGTCAATGAAGAAGTGGCGCAAATGTGGTTGTGATGCATTTGTTGGCAAAAAATGGACTGAAAGCAGTGAGGAGGTATAGCATTGCTTCCTCACCACTTTTCAGTAGCCTTTGGAGCAGGCAAGAGGGTTTAGACCCATGTCTAAATCTACTCTTACTATATTTATTTATTTATTTATTTACAATTTTACTCTTCACACTACAGGTTCAATTTTGTTTTTAATATTTTTAAAATATTTTTTTTTTTGGGGGGGGGGGGGCTTTGGCTAGAATCAGGGGTCTAAACAGACCCCTAATATTTTATTTTTTTGAGACCGAGAGAGGAGCTGTATTCAGTCCCTTTTCTGCAGCAGCCTCAGCTGCACTGTAGATGAATGAATAGAAGTTACTGTTTACTATGCTTCATTCACACATGTGCAGTGATGAATGAACACAGGAGCGATCAGTACAGATCGTTCACTGTGCTCATTCAGGAAAGGAGGGGGCTGATAAACACATGTTTACCAGCTTTTTCACTCTCTATCCTGACCATGATCTTCCAGGCAGCAGCTGCACCTGGAAGAAAGGGGGGGTGGCTTTTTAGCTGCTAGGCAGGGATGTAGGGGGCAGCAAGAAGTAGGGGAGAGAGAGCAGAGAAGGCATGCGGACCTGGCAGCGAAAGGGTCACAGCCACTACTCCCTCAGCTCTTCTGCCTTTTCACTCTTCACTCTTCTCACAGGTGACTTGGCATGAGCAGGATGGCACACAGCCCGGTTTGGGATCGAGCCAACACAAGTGCCCCCTGCAGCAGCATGTTTATTAAAAAAAAAAAAAATGCTTTGCAACCACTTTAAGCACAGCTATGATGCTATGTTTCTACCCTATGTGCAGATTTAGGGATATCTACTAAAGTATGTGTCATTTGTACAAAGGATTTTTTTTTTTTTTAAGAAACTGATGACAATTTGTCAGCTTATGCTTGTGCGTTTCTTTACTGTAACCTGATTTGTTGGCCATTCGATGCCTGGGAGCCTGCTACTGATAAACAGTCATTAGAGAATGCATGTATATGTGGCTGCTGCCAGCCAGTATGTATGGTTTTTTTTTTTCTTTTTTTTAGTCACTGTATTTTTTATTTATGTATTTATTTTACATTCTAAGCATGTACTAATTTGGTTTGTCCAAGTGTTTTTCAATTTCAATGCTGGAAGGAGGGGGAGAATGGCAATGAGGTGACTTGATGCTATCGAAAATCTTATTTCTCTCTTGATCAATTGGCCTGAGTGCAGTCTGTGGCTACCCTTTTGGTATAAAATTTTGTTAGCCACTGCAGCCCATTCCAGCCAGGTCTGGTGAGGAACAGTCTGTATGGTTAATTTTACAAAACTAACTTTCACTAGTTCGTATAACAATGAAAACATTCTTATTCTAATGAAATACAAATCTTGTTCAGGATGCACAGAGATCCTTGGCTAATGTCTCTGATGAGGTTTCCAGTGAAGATGATCCTAGCACAGGATATATTGCACGGCGTAACATGGATCGGCCTCATAATGACAGTGCACTCAGAAACCGAAAGTCTCATCATTACAAAAAGCACTATACAGCAGAGGTATGGCCAGATTGCTTACTAGCTGTTTACAGTTTGTTTGGCTAATCTCTCTCTTGTTCCTTTCAAAAAGTGATAACTACAGTTTGTATGTATAGGAAATTCATTTTCATTGTCAATTGCTAAAAATGTAATAGGTATGATAATGTCTGAAATACTTTAGATTTTTAAGTTTCTGATCAGTTAAATGTGGTTTATGGCAGAAAGTATGAAACCCCCTTAAACTAATGCTACTTGGACTGGCACGGTTTTGTTTGAATTTAACATAAAAAAACCTCTAATTTAATTAAACTTGAAAGTATTTTATTGATTCCCTTGATTCAATGTTACACATCTTATATGAATGCCTGTGAGTAAACTTTATACATACATGCTGAATGCACAGCAATGTATATATATTTTGACAGCAATGTTTGTATTTACCTATTTGCAACCCATGTTTATTCTGTTTAATGGTTATGCGCTGAGTAGTTCGGTACAAATTAACTCGGCAGCTACTACTACTACTCCTACTACTACTTATTTAAATATCTTACGGATTGCACCACAGAAAAATAATTCTACAAGCAATAAAATAATCAGTCAATATGATCACTCCCGGCAACTGCTATTCTCCATGATGTAACCATCACCGATCAGGACTAATAAATTATGGAACAGCGCTAGCCTTCTCTAAAATCACAAGCCACAATATATGTACCTCAAAAAAACAATTGTGCAAAAATCCAATCTCCTATAACAAAAAACGTAAACTCTTAAATAATTTCTTATAAATAATTTCCGTATGACGTGTAAAACAGTCCACCAGTGCAAAATAAGCTTTTGAATCTTAACATTTTCCACCACCAAATAAATTGAATAAATTCCCCAGAGCGATATGCTGGTCAAACCATAAACCAATTATAAATCACTTATCCTCACTTCTCAAGTGCATATAAACAAAGTGCCTAATATTATATAACATCCCCTTATATTGTACAATGTTACACTGGCTAAAATGTTATACTGAAAGTGCAAAATACCATAAAAAAAAATCTTAAGACTATTAAATACTTTCATATATATATATATATATATATCGTATTTTTCGCTCCATAAGACGCACCTGACCATAAGACGCACCTAGGTTTTAGAGGTGAAAAACAAGAAAAAAAAAATATTCTGAACCAATGGACTGCAGACATAGTACAGGGGATGACCAGAGACTGAGGACACAGTACAGGAGATGACCAGAGACTGCAGACATAGTACAGGAGATGACCAGAGACTGCGGACAAAGTACAGGGGATGACCAAGAGACTGCGGACATAGTACAGGAGATGACCAGAGACTGCAGAAACAGTACAGGAGATGACCAGAGACTGCGGACACAGTACAGGAGATGACCAGAGACTGCGGACACAGTACAGGAGATGACCAGGGACTGCGGACACAGTGCAGGAGATGACCAGAGACTGCGGACACAGTACAGGAGATGACCAGAGACTGCGGACACAGTGCAGGAGATGACCAGAGACTGCGGACACAGTGCAGGGAATGACCAGAGACTGCGGACAGTGCAGGGAATGACCAGAGACTGCGGACAGTACAGGGAATGACCAGAGACTGCAGACAGTACAGGGGATGACCAGAGACTGCGGACACAGTACAGGGAATGACCAGAGACTGCAGACAGTACAGGAGATGACCAGAGACTGCGGACAGTGCAGGGAATGACCAGAGACTGCAGACAGTGCAGGGACAGTGCAGGGAATGACCAGAGACTGCAGACAGTGCAGGGAATGACCAGAGACTGCAGACAGTGCAGGGAATGACCAGAGACTGCGGACAGTGCAGGGAATGACCAGAGACTGCAGACAGTGAAGGGGATGACCAGAGACTGCTGACCTTTGGGGAGGGAGGGGGAGCGGGTACCTGAATTTGACAGGTACCCGCTCCCACTTCCGCGGAGTTGCCTTCCCTCTTCTTCCCGGGCCGGCTTCTGTGACAGCCGGGTGCCCACTGCGCAGGTGCAAGAAGCGCTTCGCTTTGTGAATGGCCCGGCGCCTTCTGTGACCTTTCATGTGTCCCAGAAGACACCGGATCATTCACAAAGCGCAGCACATGCGCAGTGGGCACCCGGCTGTCACAGAAGCCAGCGCGGGAAGACTGTGCAGCGCTGGAGCGAGGAACAGGTAAGGCCCTGCAGGAGAGAGAACAGCTGAGCGGCCGGCCCGGTATTCTGACATGGTGGCGGCAGAAATACCGGACCGGCCGCTTTACATTCGCTCCATAAGACGCACTGACATTTTCCCCCCTTTTTGGGGGGGAAAAAAAGTGCGTCTTATGGTGCGAAAAATACGGTATATATTTATTAATGTCCATATGATGTGTAAAAGAGTCCATAAGTGCAAAATAAGCTTTTGGATCTTAACACCACCAAACTGCTTTTCCACCACCAAATTATTTTAATAAACTCACCAGTGCAATATGCTGGTCAAGCCAAAACGCATGTTGCTCTGGGAGTAACTCTCTGCAGTTCTGTAGTCTTAATGTCTCAGGCTTCTCAAAACACACCACACTTGTGTCTCTCATTCACTCAAAAGGAAAAGAAGAGGGGAACTTCCATAGCGTAAAACCATCAACTGATTTATTATGTAAAATCATATAAAACACTCACATTGACAAGTGTTGCCACTGACACAGGTATAGAGGCTTAAACATAGCTTCCCTTCAGCTCCCAGAGAACATCAAGCGACGAAGCATGTAGGGCGGGGCTTCGGAGGTGACATCATGCATGGAGGTTGCTCTCGCGGTCGCGGCCTGAGACAATCTAATATATGTTTAAGCCTCTATACTTGTGTCAGTGACGACACGTGACAATCTGAGTGTTTTTATGTGATTTTACATAATCAGTTGATGATTTTACGCTATGGAAGCTCCTCTCTTCTTTTTCTTTTGAGTGAATTAGAGACACAAGTGTGATGTTTCGAGAAGCCTGAGACATTAAGACCATGGAACTGCAGATCCTTACTCCCAGAGCATCATGCGTTTTGGCTGGTTTATGGTTTGACCAGCATGACACTCTGAGTTTATTCGGTGGTGGAAAAGCAGTTTAGTGTTAAGAAGATTCAAAAGCTTATTTTGCACTGGTGGACCGTTTTACACATCATACGGAAATTAATATTTTTAAAAATGATTTAAATGTTTAAGGTTTTTTTATATGGTATTTTGCACTTTGAGTATAACATTTTGCACTTTGAGCCATTGTAACATTTTATAATTAAAGCACTTTGTTTATATACACTTTGTTTATATGCATTTGAGAAGTGAAGATAATTGATGAGTTTTTGCACTTTATATCAGTGAAAACTGACTGTATACTGCACGCATATGTTTTTGTGCACATTGTATTTTTGGGGTATTTATATATGTATTTGCACATTTATTTTTTGTATGTAAGTACTGTAAAAAGAGAAGAGATTGGATTTTTGCACAATTGTTTTTTCGAGGTACATATATTGTGGTTTGTGATTTTAGAGCAGGCAGCACTGTTCCCTAAATTATTAGTACTACTACTTCTTATCATGAAAGCAATGTCCCATAAGTCAGAAATAACTGACGTCTTCTTGGGGGCCTCTCAATGATGAGCATGAAAGCAATATAAAATACATAATGAAGACATTGCATGGTGGTTAACACTATGACAGAAATACAACATAAATGTAACAAAAAGCTACTTCTCTGAACAGATACATTTTGATCCCCATGATTAAACCTTAAGTTACCAGGGGCATTGGTCATCTGTTGTTCAAAAATGTGTATGTAAATGCTGTGTTCAAGCCTTTAGGTATAACAGTGTCTAGGGTATACATTTAAAAGGTTTTCCTCCTCAACAATACATTGTCTATGTTGCTACCCTGCAAGGCTTTGTCACTTGTTCTATAAACATGGCATGAAGTTTGTGAACCTGATGGTTGTGATTGTGACCGGTTTGTGTTGATGGGGCTCCTTTCCTTGTCTTTTTGTTTTCTGTGACCAGTTTTATATCACCCTGATGTTTTTTGAAATTACACATTTATCTGTGTTGCAATTGTAGTACTCTGCAATATCGTATTTTTTATTTTATTTTTTTTGCTAATGTGTGCATGATGGAAGATTTCTTCAAGAGTCTGAGTATTAGATATGTTGCAGATATGACAATTATGGTCACCTTGAGGTTTGCTGATCACTGTGCTACCACCACCTAAGTTTCAAAGGAGGAAACTGAAACCTCGTGGCCTGCCCTTTTTTTTATTTTTCCGGCCATGCCATTCGACTGGTAATGGCTGCCAGCCTTCATTCTACCAGCACAGCTTAGCAGTTTCACTGTGAAACCCGTGTTCTCAGCAGCCTTCAGTACTTGGACTTAGAAAGCCCTCCCTCTCTACAGTTACAGAGGTCATGAGTACCTCTCTGGGTAAAAAATGTACAGTAAGTGGCAGACCGCATGAACAATGTAAAGTATCAGATGGCACTGCCAGCTCAGGCTCAGCACTTGCCTCTAGCGAACTTGGTAATTTTGTACACAGGGCCCTAAAACCCTTTGTTTAGATGGTTGGTAAACCCGACTCTTTGCTTTCCTCTTGTCATTCTGCTAACCCACTGATCACACAATCATCTCCTTTTTGTCCAGAAGTGAAGTTTTTTGTTTTTTGTCACAATGTCAGATTTCATGGGTAGAATCTCGGGCCTCATTAGCCTCCTCTCTTGAACTGGTCTTTTGCTCTGCTCCTGAGCTAGACATGTTACGTGGAGTAGTTGAGGATAATCTCCCCCCCCACCTTTTAAGACCAAAAATAGTATGAAACACCTGTAAAGGAGATTTTGCCCAAATGTAATGATTCGATTGCTGCGCTGTAAACTGCTTAGCCTGGTCTGCTCACCTCAGGTTTTCCAGGATGGGAACACTTAAATTGCTACAAACAACTAAGAACTTCCCAGTTCACACATTTGTCCTGCATGGGGTCTGGCCTCACCTGGAGAAGGTATCGTACCTTCAAAAACCCTTGCACAGCAGTATCCTTTTGATGAGTTTCCTGCGAAAGTGGGAGGTTCCTGTTGTAAATCCTGCCATTTCTTGTGTTAATATGACCTTCACAGGCCCCACGGAGAATAATCTCATGTTCATGAACCTGGTAGATAAGTGGTTAGAAACCCACTTTAAAGCCCTTTTTTTGGAGGGGCAGGCCCCACTATGCAGTCTGCGGTTGCTTCTATCACAGTGTGTCAGACCATTACTTTCTGGACAAAGTGAATGGCCAGTGATTCTGGTTCCATCCAAACAGATTCTTTAGTTCAAAACTGACTTGAACTTTGGTTTAAATGATAGTCAGTTGAGCTGCCATGCAAGTCTTGTGCAGCTACCCTTTGAAGGCAAACCCCTATTTGGTACCTCCTTGTATGTCCATTATAGAAATCACATCCGGAATGTTCAGGACGACTCCTGATCCGGAATGTTCAGGCCGACTCTAATGCCAATTTTAGGTGAAAGGTTCTCTAAGCTGCTCCAAGTCTCAGGTTTTTTATTTTGTTTTTTTAATCACCAGAAGTTTATCAAAAAGTACAAAGTTTACAAACTTCCTGAGTGTAAAGTTGTTCATGAAAAACCGCATAACATTGTACAATACACAGGAGTTCACTGCTTAGTCAAATTATAACTGTAAATATTGTGCTCAAGCAGACAAGATAAGTTGATCATGTTAGCCGCTACAGTAGTCAGTACAGTAGAGGAATTTACAGGCTTGAAAATAATGCTCTTGAGATTGCCTCCCTGATGTGTGCCTGTCGGACCACATCATCCAGTATACCTAATATACATTGTTTGGGATCTAGTTCTATACCCATATTAGATGCACCATTAGGACTGCTAGTGATTGTTGCCCAATATCTGTGCAGCTTGGGGCAACTCCAGAGCACTTGTATTGTTGCCATGGTCTCTACGGCATCTATGGCAGCTAGGATCCTGCAGTAGACTCATGGTTTATAGAGTTTGGAAGAGGTGTAATATATCTGTAATAGTCTGTCAATCCTATCTTAATGCATTTGTTACTCCTGGTATGTTTTTTCTCATCCCTCCTTTGGGTTGCCTTTGGATGTCATGGCTAAAGATCCTATGTCCCTTATTGTACCACTATGCAAATAGCATTTCTGACTTGCTATTAAAATCTATTTTTTTGGAGTACAGTGCGGAACACATGTCCTTTCCCCCTTTTCTAGTGATCTCAATTTTGCTTGCTATGAAACGGATGCTTGCTGGGAGTGGGAGGAATTATATGGGGGGGTGGGGGGGGTGTTCTTGCAGCCTCCTCTTTCCCCAGTGTCCACTCACCTGAAGGTAACTTCATGTAACCATGGCAGTGACTAAAGGTCATGTGTCCTGTACTGGTATTTTACTGGTAAGTCAAAAATCCTTATAGTCTGAATAAAGCTCTCTGTTATGTCTTTTTTACAGGTAAATCCCAGGGGAGAGTATGACAATCCTGGCTTTTTCTTTCCCAAAAGAGGAGTTGTCATAGTTGTCATAACTGCAATATATGCATAACTCTGACTCTTGGCGAATTCTTCCATCATCCATACACTGGCAAAGAAATACTGTATTGCAGAATACTACAATTGCAACATTGAACACTATTTGAACAACCTCAAATGTTTACAGTAACACTGGCCATATATAATAAAAGACAATGAAAGGAATTCGACCCAAACCGGTCACATACACACCGTGCAGTGGATGTTTAAAAACAGCCAGCAGATTGACCACACAGCCCCCCCCCCTCCCCCCTCAACGCTGACTGATCCATTACTATTGTCAGTGTGGGGGTTAGGTCACACAGTCGTGCCAGCTTTGACTGATCCTTAAAGTGGTT